GGTACCAGGTTATCAGCTACACGCTGATACTGAGCACTCTACACACCAACCACAAATGGCACTGGGGTGATTCAAGAAAAACGACTGGCAACCGACCCATCGGTGGTCGACATAGACCCCCACCCGAAAGCCGTATCAGCGAACACGCTTCTAAACTTCGAGGCCATCAGCTGCTTGTATACCAATACGCAAGGTCTTCTCAATAAGATAACCGAGCTTCTTATTCGTAAGTTCTCCGCTCCTTGGGACATAGTCATCCTAGTCAGAACATGGCCGAATACTGTCACCGATGAAGAGATTGCTCTACCCGGCATAATTCCACTACTATACCATCGACCCAGTAGAGGAAGCGGAGTACTCCTGTAGTACCGATCGGACCTGTATGTTGATATCATCAACGAGTAAGATACCCTAGGTGTCAATTCTCTCTGGTGTCGTCTACACATGGACCGTGATGATGTGTGAAAGTCTACAAATCATCTCCAACCTCCAACATGGATTCAGACGCGGACGATCTTGCCTCACCAATCTACTACTTGCTCGGGACTCATGGACCAGGGCTGCTGACGAGGGAGTTCCCGTAGATGTGATTTACTTAGACTTTTCTAAGGCATTCGACAGAGTCAATCACCCAGCACTTCTCCGAAAGCTTGCGGCCTATGGTATCCACGGATCCTTGCTCACATGTTTGGAAAGTTACTTATACGACAGAAGAATCGAGGTAAGGATCGCCAACACCCACTCCGATAGCCTATGCGTCACTAGCGACGTACCGCAAGGATCAGTTCTCGGCCCGTTACTCTTTTTAGTCCATATCAACGACCTCCCTGCCAACATTCAATCACCTATGCAAATATTCGCTGACGATGCTAAGATGTGGCGAGCTATTCAGTCAACATCTGACCCTGTCTATCTGCAGGATGACCTAAACCGGATTCACGAATGGGCAGTAAACAACCAACTACCCATGAACCCCGAAAAGTGTCACCTGTTGTCGCTGCGCAGTAACTGCAGCAACACATATCACCTGGGGCAGCGCGTTATAAAACAGGTGAGCAACGAAAGAGACTTAGGGGTCATCATGCAAGAAGGTCTGGGTAATTCGCTCCAATGTTCAAAGGCAGCTAACATAGCGAACTTAAACTTGAGGCTTTTGAGGCGAGCGCTCGGTACCTTCGAGCGGCAACTCGTGCCATTATTGATTAACGCCTACATTCGTCCCCACCTCGAGTATGCGGTGCAGGCATGGCGTCCGTGGTTAAAACGGGACATTCGTCTCCTGGAGCAACCACAAAGAAGAGCCACTAAGGCAACACGTGGTCTATCGGGCCTTAGTTATGAACTGCGCCTTCGTTCGATCGGTCTGTTCTCCTTAGAATACCGACGACTTCGCGGTGATCTGATCCTCACTTACCGGATACTAAGAGAAGAGGACCATCCATGTAAGTCGCTGTTAACATTATCTGCCGACAAACGATGCCGAGGCCATGCACTAAAACTTGTGACTCAATATTCCCGTTTAGATTGCAGAAAATTTTTTTACTCTCTTAGTGTCTGTCCGCACTGGAACGCACTGCCATCGCATGTGGTGAACGCACCAAACATCGAGACATTCGAAAGACTATTGGACTTGCACTTACATGATACACATTATATAACGGTATGACAAACTGCAGTGTCTAACTTACTGATATTTTTGTGTCACACCTGAAACTTTTGTTTTCTTCCATTTGCCATCCTGTGGGTCTTGTAAAGTTATTGCTTTTTATCCCACCATACACTATTGAACTAGTGAACCTAGCATGAGTTTATCGTCCTACAATTTCTACCCTGGAAATGGGTCAGCGCGTAGCCTCTGCCTCGTAGTGTGTCCTGACACGGTCAGACAGTCATGTCCTTCTGGTGGAGGACATTAGTATTCACACAATCGAAGTCCTAGCATCACTCAGCGAACAAATCAAGGCTCACTTACAAGATCGAATCGCCCATGTACCTCTGTACAACCATGTCTCCTCTCCCACGCGATTCGGAGCGGGTGACGAACCCACTGTTTTAGCCCTTGTGCTCATTAACGACGAACTATTGGTAGCTACCGTGAACATAGATGCATCGCTTGGCCGTAGCGATCATCAGACGTTGACCTTTCGCTACATCTGCTACGTGGAATACACCTATGAAAACTACATGGAAACCCACATAGTCACCCATTATGACATGCTGTTGAACACGGTCCAAGAAACTGTCGAATACTTCATAGCCGTACAGGCGCCCAATGTCACTTGGAAAGGATTTATCACCTACTTCAATGGGCCAGTGACGGATGCCTCCGAAGCCAAAGTCTTTCATCTGGAGCAAGCGAAGTCGTTCCTGAGGAGCCGGACTAGAAAATGCGTGGCCTTAAGGGATTTCGCCTGGTGAACTTATAAACCATGTCCGAGTGTGCAAGTCTGGGATGCTTCGCAAATCAATCTGACTATATCGCTAAAATGAATGCCATCCTCAACAATCAGTAAAAATTCCGGATGATGGAGAAAGAGAAAGACAACACTGCTTTAATAGAAAAGACAGTCATAAAGCTACTACGCTGCCTGAATCAAGAGAATGCGATTGACTCACGTGTCCCTCACGTGTCCCCCCGGGTCAGGGATTCCACGTCTTTATGGCTTACCAAAAGTGCATAATGAAGGACTTCCACTGAGACCAATAGCAGACATGTGTGACTCCCCATATGACCAACAGCGAAATGGTTCGTTAAGTATCTAGAACCGATCAGAAAAGTCCTATCCAAACACAGCCTCAGAGATACTTTCAGCTTCGTAGACACCATAAGCCCTATGCAATTAACCGGAAAGAAAATGTTTTCTCTATATGTAGCATCTCTGTTAACCAAAGTTCCGCTAGAGGAGACGATAGCCTATCTTTGCGATGCTGTTCGATAGCACCATGTGCATGTCGGCCTCTCGAACGAACAACTTAAACAGTTGCTTCTGATTTGTACCAGTAACCTATAATTTCTGTTCGAATGGTGGATCTACAGACAGAAGGACGGAGTCGCAAAGGACTCTCTGTTAGGACTGCTGGTAGCAGACTTATTGACGAGTAAGTTGAAGAACAACTATCTGGACGGAATTAGTAACAGCTTAGTCTCCTACCGACGGCACGTGGACGATATATTCTGCATCTCATACAATAGTTTCCCACGGAAGAACTAGTGAGACAATTCAACTTAATCCAACCCAACATAACATTCACCCTTGAATCTGAGTGATACGACTCAATGTCGTTCAGATTAGTCGAATTAAAATAATAGAGAATATCTGTAGCTCGGGATGCGGATGTGGGTTTTGCACTGCTCTCCTAGCTGAATGATTATTTTGCAGATGTCTCGCAGCCAGACTAGGCAACGTCATTTGTGCCGCACTGGTGATGTTGCCTAGTCTGGCAGCGAAACGTCCGCGGTAGGGCGACGCAGTTGACAAAAAGACAGGGTATATGGATCACCAACCGAGAAACTTGCTCAACCGATGCGGTCAGGTAGCTGACTCGAGAGTTAGGTCAGGTCAGTTTTCAAGGTCGAAAATAGGCTCCAGCCTAACAAGCGTCCTGTTTCTTGTACCAGAAAGCAAACCAGGACCCGCAGTACTTCGACTTCTGAGTTGCCATGCTTTACAAAAGAAGTGAAGCAAGCCAAGAGCAATCTCTGTACTTTCTTGGATCGTGGACCTCACGATCTATTACAATTGCCAATAAATGTACAATAATTCAGGTAAAAGATCCGGCCAACACTTATCCAGGCTGTTTTTGAGGGCTGTTACAGTAGCACTTTAAATTAAGGCAGAAGAAAATTTGTGCCAATTATGAACAACACGATTTTCAAAGAATTTGGCCATAATCGCCAGCCTGGACCTCTGATGCTCAATCTTAAAATCATGTCCCCTTAGGTGGTCGGATGCAACATGTCTAAACAAATCGAAAGGCTTAGTTTCGCTGAGGCACTTCATAATCTTGAACGTTTCTCTCAGGTCATCTCATACTCTGCGCCCCTCCATAGAGAAAATCCTAGGCCCCTTAGGCGTTCTTGGTATGAGTTCCCGCGCTGACCCTTGATCATCCTAGTCACCAGTTTTTGGACATTCTCTATGCAGATCACTTCCTTCTTGTGATACGGCGCTCACGCCTTCACACAGTACTCTAAGTGAGATCGTACCACCGCTTTATATAATGGGAGGAAAACCTCGGCTTGGTGTTGCAGACGGTTCTCCTGAAGTGGAATAATTCATGCAGCGTCTTGTTGGCGGTATGCTGACATTGTGCTGAGGTTTCGAAATTCCTCGTCATATTTATACCCAAATCCCGAACCTCTTCGACGGACCGCAAGGTCAAGGTACAGGCAGTAGTTTTCACTGTAACCTCATCATTGCTGGAGGACAACAACTGACGTTTACTGACATTAAGGGGCAAATCCGATAAGGAAGGCAATGTAGACACAAAAGGGGCTGAGACTCCCGAACGGAATGTCAGAAAACGGTAAGATGACTAAGGTAATGAAACAATGGAATCATTCCTACACTTCGAGATCCACTGGGTATGGCTAGTAATCCCGAGTCGAATAAATAGAACTTGTTTGGTGTGTGATAAATAGGTATTGAAAATCCACTACAAAGCGGAACACCGAGTGCTTGAAAAAGGTTTGGAACAGTTTTCTGAAAAATCGTTAAATATACTTCCAACCTTTTCAGATGAGAGAAAGAGAACATAAGGAAAAATGGAATAGTATGCAATAATCTTCGATCCATTGAATGTGCACATAGCATGCATACAAAATGTCAGAGCGTCGGTTTTGCGTCTGCCTTAGGCCAATATGTTTTGCACGAACATCAAAAATGGTTTAAAGTAATTCAGGTTGGACTACACCTTCTTAATAAAAACGCTGTTACTTCCCATCTGCCTAATACCTGGACAGTCCCCTTTGCATGTATTGATTGATTTGCATTTAAACTATCATGAGAAGATCTACAGACAATGTGGCCGTCGAACTTGCTCGACTAGACCGCCGAAGTGTTAATTTCCAACATGGATAAATGTGTCAATAACAGTGCAGTCCCCATAACAGGGCGCATCGTAGTATACCGGAAACTGTCGCCGCAATACGCTTGCGGTGTTCCATCCGAGGCATCTTCCGGCGGTTCCGAGGTGGATTGCACCAATGTCGAAATGAAGACCACGGGCGGTTTGATGAAAAACAGTGACTCCATGGTTTTGCGTTCGAAGATGGTAACAGATGCAGCCACCTCGTTCACTTACGGTAGACAGTCGGCTTATGCAAGCAGATCCAGTGTGGTGAAAAGCGAATGTACACCTAACTTTCTGGAACACAGAACCGCAACCCACAGATTGTCCTACCCGGATGTAGTGCTGGTGAATTCTGTAGGAAATCAAAAGCTAAGTCCTGGAGTCATTTGGGATTGTGCAATTCCTTCTGATCCGATGACGGTATCGAGGCAGATAATCGAGACGCATTTGGAGCGTACGAGACAAACGTACTGCAAGAATGCACAATTAGGATGGTGCAATGAAGTGATTGTTTATGCTAAATTAGGATACTGGGAGCCGAACTCCTTGCCCCGACCGCTCCTGGAGGATCCATATTTTACAGATGCAGCGGTCGCTTCACAAGTTGTTTCCACTGCCTTTGATCGCAGAGGGCCGAAATCCAACTTGCAATCTGGCCCGTCTGTGAACACAGGTAAGGAGCTTTGAAGTAGGGGTTGATTTCAGAGGCCTAAAATTTGTCGCAGGACATCACTTCTTTAATGGCGGAACAGCCTCGTCATACAGCTCCCTGAGTAGCAGTTAGTCCAAGGCCTATCTTGGATCCGATGTATCTAAGCGCACTGCTAGACAGTGTCCTCACCCGCGTTCCGTGAGCGCTATTTGACACAGGTTCAACAAGCTTTGTTCACAGCTAAAAAAGGAGTTTGTTCCTAGAGCAGGTTCATCGCTTGGAGAGATCTGGGTTTGTGAAACATAGTATGAAATCCATTTCTCAGTAAAGCGAAATTTCGTTTACCGATCTATTCGGTTGGGTGCATATGCAGTGCAACTTCAGCTTGTTAGTAACCTCGAAGCTTCCCACAATTTTATTCTTTATAGGCAAGTCCTCCTGCAACAGAATTTGTGGTATGTGTAAAGGTGCAAGCAAACAAGAAATTTGTGCTAAGGACCCTGGAACACTGTGAGTGCGTGTGGGTTAGAATTGTCGGCTGCAACTTTTATCTGTTCATTGAGTGGTGTATTTTGTTACGCACTACTGAGGCTTGATGTATACACTAAAATCGATCTTATGGGTGACAGCTGAGAATTGTTTGGCGCCAGATGGTACCAAGGACGGAGTTTACGAAGTTATGAAAGTGAAGCGCTTAAGCACAACCAGTACTTTACAGCCCTGGTTTTTAAGTTGACTCATTGGGTGCCGATTATGGGACAATGGAATAATCTACCACAGATAAAAAGTCACATGAGTAAAATTTCCCGTGAGTTAACAGTGAAACTAGAAATGAATGTGTCAAGGAAAGGTAACGCGCACTGCTGAACTCACCTTTATTTTCACATGTGTACACAGCTTAGTTACCTTTGTGTTGCAAAAAATGAATTAACCATTTCAATTCAGGTGGCGTAACTCACCATCAAATCGAAGTTTTGATTCAGCGAACGTACGGAGTGTAGCTGACGGAATTCGATAGAGTGCTCCACGACTGAGACCCGGTAATCCAACTGGCCATCATGTGTAGCCAACTTCAAATGGTGGTCTCTCAGTGTAGTGTTGTGGCTCAGCTGCAATAAGAGTCGGCATGAGTTATCTGCATCCCTGAGGATACAATACCCCAATATAATGATCTCTTCACAAATGACAATATTGTCCAGTGAACACTCCTGACTTTCATTCTGAGTTGATAATAGGCGTGCAACAATGGCTTAACATTTTATTTACTTGAATTCTGAATACTGTATTGTGGGAGTAATTAGTAAGGTAACTGTGCAATTCCCTCGGAATATTAGCAAGGAGGTCATAAATAGTAGTTGCCACCACTTGATACACTAATCGTTCTTCCGGTTCTTATATAGTATTTTAAAATGTATGTTATTGTCTCGCTAGTCTCACTATTGTGGCGTGTCTTTATCGGGGTGCAATGGTACCCTGAATCGAATGGTGTTAAAATGTAAATTCAGTAAGGTTTCGAACTGCTGCACGGACATGGCCTCCAGAACTTGTTCTGGCAGGCTATTCCAAACATTTATATGGGTGATAAACTGGCTTCAGATCCGGCACCATACGATTGTACCGCTGTCTGCATGTGCTGCGTGGCGTCCTTAAGTGAAACAGAGGCTTCAAGTTGAGGAAGTAACTGAGATGTAATACACAGCAGCTCAAGACAAGATTGACTGAAACCCGACGAAAAGACAAGATGTAGGGGTTCAGTTTCTTGCACCAGTCTTCGTACGATATTCCTCGTAAACTCAGAATGAACTTAGCAGCGAAGTGTTTGACCATTTTGACCTTCTGTGTCTCGTTTCGGGTAATTGTATAGTAGGCGACCGATCCGTACTCTATCCTCTATCTTAAGATTGTAGAGAGCAGGCGCGTGGGAGCCAGTTTATATCAATTACAGAAGACGAGTTGACCACCTAAAGCACGCGTAGCCGGTTTCTACATAGCTTGTTCGTGCTGTTAACGAACAGCAAATCGCAGCATGAGTGTAAGTCCACACCCTTTAATGAAGGTGTGGTATGTAACGAGTGACCATCCATGGCGTAATTCTGGCCACACTTCCCATCTCCATGAACACTGACTTCGTTGGGTTGACTTGGAGGTAGACTTCTGCAGACCACAGAGGCTGTTGGGGTCTTGCTGAAGTATACCGCGAACGTCGTTGAAGATAATCGCTCTCCAAACCTTTGTGTCAATCGAAAACAGGGCACAAGATGTCCCAAGAAGCCAAGGTATTTCATTGATGTGAATTGGGGTCAGAGTGAACCCCAGCAATGTGCATTGAGGTACACCATTTATAGAGGGATACCCGTCAGTTAGGTAACCGTCAACCAGTGCCCCCAATTTCGTCCAACGAGATGCTAGTAAGTGCAATTGTGCAATGATCAACCAAAACAGTACATACTCAGCTTGCGGAGGAGGACCGCTTGGTTGACTTTGTCGGACACCTTACTGAAACTGATGTTAATCACATCGATAGACTTCCCTTGGTTCACTGCTTGAAACGATCCATGCCTTGTCAAGAGTTAGTTGGCAATCCATGAGTGGCCTATCATGAAACCATGCTGTGTAGATGGCAATAGATAATTTATTTGGAACAACTGAAGAAGACCCTTTTTCCGACCACTTCGATAACCTTGTTCGAAATGGCTATCAGACGTCTCTGTCTATCGTTATCTACTTTGATGGAGTCAGCATTTCGGGGCCGGTTTTACTACTGTGAATTTTCGAGCAGTCGGCAATGAAGCTTCGGATAGTGATGTTTTGAACAAATCAGTCGCAGCAGGTGAGATCATGGCTGATAGCGACTACAGTGGAGTGCGTGGAGTTCATCAGCGCTAGGAACTTTGGTGCCGTCAGGGTTGGTAAGTAGTTCATGCACCTCTACAACATTGCACACCAAACTGTTGAGTTCCGTAGGCGCGGTAGGGGTCGAACGCGGTAGACACATGGCCATTTGCAAACACGGAAGCGAAATGCGCTACTAACGCGAACGCACTCTCAGCGCTGGAACTTAGAGGCTGTCCGTCCGTGCTCTCTAATACTGATAGAGCACCTGCCGGCTCCAAGTGCCGCTTCACACATGCAAATACTTTCTTCAGGGCGGCCTTTGCGGTGATTGTGAGTTGTGCATTTTCAAGCACCAACAGGTCATTTCTGTCAACAGTGACACACTTGGATGGTGTAGTCCACATGTGACTTCACTTAAGCACTGAGCACTTGCGAAAAGAAGATGGGATCAAGTGCCCTCCTTATAACGCCCAAGTGTCGGCTATGATTTTTCACTGCTTTCTTGGCCTGTCTTGAGCATCTGAGATCGTCTTACACGAGAATCCCAAGATCCCTTTTATGTAACCTATGCTGCAAAACGCGTTGGCCTATCCGATTTTCATAGGTGCTCTGGTGCCCTAGTTTGCGCTCGACCGGCTTAAACTTAAGCAGTTGCTGGGCTGACCACTCTTAAAACCAGCCGGCAGCAAGTCACAGTGCCGTGGGGTCGTCTACCTCTTGTTTGCCCAGTACATCTTCAGACCGCCCCAAGAGTAGTAAGTTCGAGGTCAACACTCCAAACAAGGTTGTTTACGAACAAATGCAACAGCTGTGGTCCTAATAGCGAGCATTGCGGGACGCCACACTGTACTTTGGTCAGGTCAGAGGTCGCGACGAACTCGCGCGCTCAGCTGGTGTTGGTGTTGGAACCCATGTGTCCAGCCAAAAATAGCTTTATGGATCGCATAGCTGAGAAGCTTGTAAAGAAGTATGTGATTATCTAGGCACTCAAAGGCCTCCAAGGAATCAAGCCAGGTAGTATCAACTCTCCGCAAAGTCGACGTGTTCCGTTCAGCTGGCACGGTCTGAAAAAGTTTCGTGGCGCATGAGCGACTTCATCGGAATCCGAGCTTCTCCGGGACGATGATGTTGTAGCTTTCTAAATATGCCATGCGTGTTTCTGCGAAGACAGGTTCTATGGGCTTAGCAAACCTCGGAAGAAGTGTCATCGGGCGGAAGTTTGAAAGCACAGCACGATTGATCGCTTGTAAATGGGAGTGACTATTCCACTATTCACTACAGTATTACGCTATGCTCAACTTAGCAGTTGCCATTTGTCTGCATTTTCTACATTAAAGTTCGTTGGGTGGCTGGTTAGTTGATATTTTATGTTCGGTTTGTATAGTTACACTACTAATCAAACAGAAACCGTCCCGGAAAACATGACGATAATGCTGCCATGTGTCCGACCAGAGACCCGATGATCAGGTACCAGTCCGTTTGTGTTTAACAAGCCATCATTCTTTCTGTTGCCCTGTAGTTAAACGGACGCTAAGGAAGCTTAGTGACCTAGACAGATTCTACCGTTCTCTACAAAAGGATGATGTCACCTTTGAGGAACTCAACTTGGCGGTTTATGTCTGCCAGTTTGGAATCAATTTGGGTCTGAGAAGATCGATGAAAAGTTACGAGGATAACTACCATCGCCTAGTGAGAGTTGGCCTTGCTAGCGTGACTACGGCAGGTGTGTCAACCTTGGATCGGCCGCTAAGTTCGCATTCCAGAAGGACTTCGAAGGCATACTCCCGGTCGGAAATGGAACGTGTGCTCGATCATGTGACCTTGTCGGGTTTGAATGACTTCCATACATATGAAAAATATCGGATAGATGAACACTGCTCACTAGAAAACGGTGCCAGCGGTTGGACTGACATTGAGGGCCTCCTCGCAAACACATCGGATCGACTCTCTTACGCTTCAGAAGGCAGCAAGTTACCCTGCAGCGAAGATGTTGCCGAAGTTATTGATTTCTCCTTGGGCGATACAAGGGAATCGCAGGAACCAGAGGACACCATCGAAAAACGGTGCAGAGACCCGATAGAGGTGAAGGTGAGTACAGTGGAGCAGTGTAAGACGGCTAAAAACCAGGCTGATGGTGGAGAAGTCAGCTCTTCGGAAAACACAGTCCTTAGCGCTCACGGCCCAAGTTCTCGAGAATCACATGGAGATCGGAGTAACCCGCTAATTTTCAATGCAATTGGCTGTACGCAGCAGGGTGTGGGGAGCATAGACAACGTCGGAAGGAAATTTCTCCAGTTACGTATTCTTACACCACGACACCTATTGTCGGCCACTGGAGAGCGTCAGCGTTTGTCTGATGATACGGTGGAGAGAGGACGAAAGTTCGTTTCCGTATCGAAGGAAATTCTGACATCGGAGGAAAGAATGGAGTCCCATAGTTACAGACCAGCCCAACGTCTCCATCAACCATCCATTATGAGGTGTCGCTACAGGGTCCATATTCCCAATTTAGAGGACTCAACACCTCTGCCTGTTCTGGTGCGAGGAATGATCGAGGCGTCAACTCAACAATCAACACGTTCTAAGGATCACGCTCGAACATCTGATTTCACAATGCACAATTTCCTCCAACGTACTATGAGAAGAAACCCCATGTTGGCCCGCATCCTTCGTGACCAGACAACGAACATATTAGAAATGTGTGAAAAACAGTTAGATATAAAATGTTCGGTTGGCATACCTGATAGCAAACGGTCACATGGAAGCAATGTTTGTCCTTCTCTACTGCCGGAGGTTCTACCTAGTCATACACCTAATCCTCTTCAAGGCACACGTGTGCATATGACGGGACTTCTTGGGACACCAAGAGTAGCAAGCACGGGGAAACCCAGGCGCTTCAAGCCCAAACACGTGAAACCCATACCCTCCGTTAAAACACAACCGGCATTTGATAGGTCGGCTTCTGCGTCAAGCAGCAGCACCGCCAGCATTGTAAGCAAAATGGATACCCAGCACCTACGTGATAACGCAATTATCCCAGCAAATGACTTAGTATTTGTCTCATCGGCACATCCTAACCGTACGCTTGCTAGTGCGACAGAATTAGAAGCAAGACCAGAAGTGAAGAAGAGATCGCATGCCATTTTGGTACCCAGAATGCATTCAAAAGTGACCAGTCTACTGCATGCAGTGAGTCATGAGTTGGAAAGCGTCGCCCCATTTACTCTGGAACTTTTTACCCAGACATTGCGCCGAGTTATACCTGAAGAAAGATGGCAGGATGAGCGCAATTCCTTTAACATTCTGGCTGCTTTGAAAAGACTTGGTGGAGATTTGCTTGTATATCGTCACTCCTCGGGACATGTGGTTCGCTTTAAAGTTATGTCCATTTTGGCAGCCTCTGCAAAAAATCGTGTGCTGCGAAGGCAACTGCAATTCAGTGCTCCCCTCCAAGGAAACTGGTTGGATCAGCTACTTAGAACGCTGTCTAGCGACCGACCCACTTGCCGCCTAGAGGCAGCTCTTACTTTAGCCAAACTCGCCACGGAGTCCAAACTGATGAAGCAACTCATCAAGGATACCAAACAAAACGTTGTGGCCGAGATATTTGCATCCTTGTTGCGTTCGGCAGATTACCATCCGCAGAGTTGGCCCGAGTGCTACTTGGCGCTGGCATTCTTTCTGCACTATAACCAATGTCAACTGATGCATGATGCCCTGATCGATCGAGGGATACAGTACGGGTTGGAGCAGATTGGACCCTCCTGGCTCCGATTGTTGTCATATGTGTATACTTATTGGTGTCCCACTGTTCTTGAGACACTCAGTATCAATGAAAAAAGAATAAGCAACCTTTTGGATACCGCCATGAGAAATCCTCTGACGAAAAAGGTAGCCAGAGAAACACTAGCGGCTATAAGTGAATATCACACAATCGACTGCAATCTATTTTCCCTCTGGCGTTCTGGTTCACAAGGCCAAAAGCGGGAGGGCTGTGGATCAGTCAGAACCAAAGGTTGTGGATAACGCCCGCAGAAATACGATCTAAATCTTCGCACAAGAATAATAAACGAGTTTTTCTACACATCAGAGATATGTGGTGGGGATATCGTGAGTTGAAAAGTGGAATTTATCAATGGCAAACATTTTATACCAACATCAGTCAATATAATTCCCATCCAATTGTTTCTTCGTTTTCTGAAAGGTGGGAATCCATTTACGTATGGTCCCCAGGGCATTTAGGGCCGTCGGTTATCATGTAGCAGCCTAACTTGAGGTTAATTTGACACAATTGCTATGCTGTCTTTGGACGATGCCACCGTAAATTCTAACTTCAGTGTATATCAATAAAATTGGCCTTGCTGTATCTGTTCGCGGATGCAGTTATAAAGAGCGAAAGAATAGTATTTGGGTCGGCCTCTAAGTCAGCGTATCTTGTGACTTGATTGAGCAGCTCTTTGGATGCGCTGGCGGTTCTCGTCAACTTCATCATTTGCGCTACACAGCTCTTTGGGCTGCTAAGGATTTTTGACGAAAGCAATAGGCTGCGATCGTTGTGCGGCTAAGCTTTAGGAATACACGTTTCGAAGGTGGTTCCGACTTCCCAACTACTGTTCGGTGTAGTGCTTGATCCAAACACTGCACTTCAGTACTGGTCTTGAGAAACTCAAACGCTCCAGTTTGATACACCTGCTTTGTAGTTGGGACCAGCAATTAGAAGCTAACCATCTGGATCATAAATAAAACAGTCTTAATGAAATTGCGGGAAACGCGAATTGCCTTGTCGGATGCACATTTGCTGATGCAGTCTCAGCTTCCAAAGGACAATTCAGCCGGATGCATTCACTTAAATGAAAGAGAAACAGGTGAAGATGACCGCATACATAGCTCGGTCGTAATGTAAAATTCCCAACCCCATCTTATTTCAGAGGTACTCGTCATCATCGTTTACCCATTAGCTATTGAGAAAAGCCTTAGTTATTGTGCTGCAACACAAAAGGAAGATAAATGAACAAACGAGATACTAAACATTGCAGCAAATAAACTAATAGTCCAAAAACAAGTCATGTTATACTTAGTATCATATAACTTTGAGTCCGAGTTTATTGTTGGAGAGGAAGCTAAGCAGGTGGGGGAAGGACAAATAAACAACACAAACTTCATTTGGTTTGGCTCTTCGTCATGTCAAGTGTCTACAACCAAATATGTTCAACATCTTTCAGGCCTCAACCTGACAGTCGGGAGGCAGGAACCGAGGCTAAGTTCCAAGTGAGGATATTTATTCCTTGTTGACCAAGTCATCGTTTGTCCCGCTTTCCTCATCTTCCATCCAGATCCAAAACGCGTAAACAACGCACCTCGCGCGAGTCCGTATGGTAGCATTCGCAGTATGTGGCCCAGCCATCGGAACCCTCGCCCGAGGGAAGCAAAATAAGATGGACAAAGAGTCGTCGAAAGTGTAACCACGTGGGCCATCCTCAACACACCACAAGCTCTATGTTACCTCTAGCCGGGCCAACAATCGTAAGCCTACCAGATAAATTCATGGAGCACTTAGAAGCCACACGGTATTTGCTGAGCTGGACTACGACGCCAGAGCAATGATGGCTACTGGTTTCGATGTAATTCGGCAGGCTTGCCGACCAATCTCCTCGTGGTGTCAACCGGGTGGTTTGGTTGTTGCAGCCAATGGTTCGGAGGCAGTGTTCCAGGACATGGTGGGTTTCCGTCTGGTTGACGTTCTTTCTATAAAAAGCCACCTGTGTCCGTATAACAAAACTGCGACGTGGCGGATGTGACTCGCCACCAAATAAAGTCAACAGCACTTGACTCACTCCGAGGGAGCGTTGTATTCCAGCACCCTGTTGCCTAAACTGAGGGGAGTAGTAGACCGCTGTTAAGTAACCAAGCAAACGAGAGATGTATGAACTGATCAAGCAATCACAGGCTCCCAATGGGCGCGGTTCCCTGAATTCGCTCTGCAGCCTCGCGGGTGGGCTATTTAACATAAGGCTCGGAGTGGAATCCCCCAAGTCAAGTGTACACTTCGGCTTGGGCAAGCCGGTAGTAGCATGCACTCTCACAAAACCATGGGCTGTTCAAAATGTGCTCATCGGCAACCGTTGCTGCTCCTTGCATTTACGCGACTTCATCACACACCGATTGTTTGTTTGCTAACAATTCTTACTAACAGTTACCCGATTCCTGAGTCCACAAATCTGGCTGCGGTTCCGGTTGCTCCGCGAACCACGGAGTTCAACTTATGGCTCTCCTTCGACCCCGACCCTCGTTCCGTCTGGCGTGCTTCAACGTACGGACACTCATGCAGATTGGAAAACAAGCCAGTCTAGCTCGCACCCTAGGGTCCCTGTATCCTGACGTCTGCTCTCTTTCAGTAACCTGATTTCAAGACCCCAACCTTGTGCTTACGCTGACATTCCCCAATAAACACCAAGCCAGCTATGACCTGCGTCTTACTGCAGTTCCAAAAACAGCCGCAGCAGGTTTGGCTGGTGTAGATAGAGCACTAAGTGGAAAGACCGATGCGGCAATACGGAACTAGTTCCCGATAAACAGCGGACTGTGCAGTTCGGTTTAGGGGTTCATGTAGAATTAACAAGCGTCGCGGGGAAAGATGCAAGTTGTTTGTGGTCTTCGCGTACGCTCCAGCTTACTGCAGTAGTGGATCAGTCAAGGACGACTTCTATCGGGAGATTAATCAGCTCTTGACTAACTCTACATGTCGGGATGTCGTTGGCCTTGCTGGGGATTCGAATGCACAGGTTGGTCACCTGTTACCATACGAACGCCATCTTGGTGGTCGCCGCGCGCTCGATGAGGACCGCTCTGATAACGGGGGAGGCTTCTCACATTGTGCGAAGACAACCATCTGTTTCTCACCAGCAAGAACTTCAGGGATACTAAGAAGCTTTCTGCAACTTGGCGTCCCAATTTGCCAACCCAACCGTGGTCTGAAATAAATCACATTGAAATTAGATTCAGATGACGTAGCAGCGCACTGGACTGCATGCCATTTCGGTCCACTTTCATTGACTCAGACCATGCACTGGTCTACTCGAAAATCTGCATGTGTTTTGGAGAGTTCCGAAAAACGAAGCACCGTAAGATTGATGTAAAGAGATTAACTGCTTCCTCGGTTCAGGCGAGCTCTCAGTCTTCAGCGAATACGCACTCAGTTGGAATCCACCGCTAGACATTGAGCAACACTGAACTTGAATCCAGAAAGTGACGTCCACATCCGGAGATTCAAGCTGCGACCTAACTTGATGCCAATTAACGGCTTGGATCTCTGTTCTCACTCTGGAGCTGTTCGAACGTCGCAAAGATATCCCGGCGGAATCAGATTGTAACGAGCGGCGCCGCTTTGCCAACCGGCTGTTCAAGCAAAGCTTACTCAAGGATCACGAGGCATGGTGGTCTGAGCGTGCTTTAGAGATGGAGACAGCTGCCCTCTCTGGCAGGCTTTTCCAACTCATTCCGTCCACTGGTCTCAGGAAGCCTGTTGTGAATGAGGTTATCGGCGAGGCGGATGTGTCTCCAATCACTAACCAACAGAAGCGTTTGGACCGACGGGCTGAGCACATCCATTCGTAATTCAACTGGCCACCACCGTACATAAATGCAAGTAATAAACTTTGTTGTCTCCCCTGGCTATTCCCACTGAATCAAACCAGAGAAGCGGAAGTTTGCCTCGAGATTGAATGCTTGATGCGGTTCAAGACTGTCGGATCAGACAAACTTCCTCTGTAGCCATTCAGGTACGGCAACAGGGCGATCGTTAAGCAGCTGATCTCGTTGTTCGCAAAAACTTGCATGAAGAGAGTGCCTACGTTTTGGAGCGAAGCAGTTATTGTCGCGATTTTCAATAAAGGCATTCCCATCTTATGGGTCAATCATCGAGGGTTTGGTCTTATATCTGTTGCCTCCAAGCTATTGGCATGTATTCTGCTTCGTAGACTAACCCCAGTACGGGAATCACTCTACTGTGCGGAACAAGCTGGTGTCCGTCCCGACCGCTGATGCGTGGATCAAAGATGCACTCTCCGCCAAATCCACGAGCATCGCCACTTTTACCACAGGCACATTATCGTTGCATTTCTAGACATAAGATCTGCATTTGATTCGGTTGATCGGCCTGCTTAATGCGTTCCTTGCTGAAGAATAGGGTGCCAGAGAAGTATCCCATCATCATACATGCACTTTACCTTCATACCTCCGGTAGGTTGAGAGCGTACGGAAATCTCTCCTCGCAATTCGCTGTCAATAGCGTTATGTGACAGGGCCTGGCTATGTTCTTATTCCTCACTAAATTCGCAATCGAGGATGTTCTGTCGAAAGCGCTGGGAGGTTTCCTAGGTTTCCATCAAGAGTTTCCACCGGGTGAGCGTGCGCTCGACGTAGAATATGTTGATGGGATCACCTTAGTTGGTGAGGATCCAAAAAAGTACGCAACTCATTCTGGGTCATTTACCGTTGGAGACATCTAAGTATCGCATGGGCTTCGCCGCATCGAAGTGCAAAGTGTTGTTCCTGGCTAGGCCCACACCTGCTCTTGCGCTCTTTCTTGGAAATGCACAAGTTGAACAGGTAGGTGGTTTCGTCTACATTGCGAGCTGTGTTTCTACTAGAGATACTATCAGCAAGAACGTTTCGCTTCGCATCGCCTAAGGCCCGATCAGCATTCATCAACCCGAGGCACCTGTGGCATCCTCGCGACGTTTCATTGTCGCCAAAGGACTGTGTTCACAATGCAGCTCTTTGTGCAGAATTGTCGTATGGGAACGAGTCCTGGCCACTTCGCGTGGAAGACATGCAGCGTCTTCATGCTTTATACACTGGCTGTTTAAGAAAGATAGTTCCTGTATGGTGGTCACGTGTTCACGGTAATGATGTCTGACATCGCGTCTTGGGGAATGCAAGTATTCCCGTCAACGAACTGGTTTCGCTGTGCCAGTTGAGAAGGCTTGGTAAAGTCCAACACGGCGCCAGAGCGTTTTCCGCACCGTTCGCTATTTGCGCCTCAAGCACCTTGCTGGAGGCAACCGCGTGCTGGTCAGCCTTTCACTTGGTGACAACACAGGAAATCGCTGACGCCGCGTCAATCTGCCGTAGGACCCGTACGTATTCCACGATGGGGACCCAAGGATGAGGAGTGCCAATGGCTTAACACGCTTGAAGATATGGCCCGCAACAGGAACCAGTGGAAGAACTGCGTACGGAATTGTATTGATTCACATTTTTAATGGCTCAAACATTGAAAATGACAAAAGACGAAAAATATTCCCGTGCGAAAGACGAACTAACCAGGTTTCATACTATTACACTCAACCGAAATCAGAACAACAGTATTGCAAATGGAAGTTTAGTAGAAGCAATGGCAATAGTACATCAGCAGTCCACACTGGGCACAAGATCAACTGTTTAGTTTTACGCAGTTCGCATGTTTTAGCTAAGCACTCGCTTTTGAACCAATCAATATGCATCGCTGGTTAGTCGGGAGATGGACACTCACGCACTAGCGCGCACAATGCAGCTCCACAGGCTAGGTGGTGTAGCATGACCTTGACGCGCTCAACCTCTGCATCACTTCTCGCACCTTTGGTTGGAGCTATCCAGCTTGGAAACGATCGACCGGTCGGCGTCGGCGCTCAGAGCGCCGCAATTGTGACTCAACTACCGGTTCAACGTCACGCACGTGCATGTCGTTCGATGCTTGAGCTGGCTGCTCTGTCTTGGCAACTGTTTCCGTGTCGGACAATCTCGGTCGCACGTGATCTAAATGGCGTCGAACGATCCTGCCATCCTCAGTCCCTGCTTCTATTATCTGTCCGTTAGTAGTTTTAACGACGGCTGGATCCCACCCAGAGGCTGTAGGTAAGCGGATGTAGATGGGATCTGAATCTGTCACATGCTTGTCTCTGCTACAAGTATCAAAACGCTCTTTCACACGTTGTTGTTTTTCCGAAACTTGTGGCTCAATAGATCCATGCAATAAATCCAAACGTGTACGCAGTCGACGACCAAACATTAACTCTGCGGGGCTTCTGCCTGTGGTCTCGTTTGGCATGTTTCGAGATGCGAACAAGGAACGATCCAAACGCACACGCAGCGGAGCATTTGGTTGTTTTATTAGCAACTTCTTCACTGTTTGTACGGCTCTCTCCGCCAACCCATTAGAAGAAGGATGATAGGGTGCAGTTGTTATGTGTTTGATGCCGTTCGAGTTGAGGAAGGTAGAAAACTCAACACTGGCGAATGCTGGTCCATTGTCAGATACTAATGTCTCGGGAAGGCCAAATGTTGCGAACGTTGTGCGTAGTTTCTCTATAGTAACAGCTGAATTTGCTGAAACAAGAATATGGGCATCAATCCATTTAGAATGGGCATCGATGATTAGCAAAATCATCCGACCTTCGTAGGGACCGAAATAGTCTAAGTGGACTCGTTTCCAGGGTGTTTCTGGCCACTTATAAGAATGCATTGGCGCATGGGGAGCGGCGTTTCGGGTCTCCTGGCAAGGTCTGCAACTTCCAACCTTCGCCACAATATCACGGTCTAATTCAGGCCACCACACATAAAATCGAGCTAACGACTTCGTCTTTGCGACACCTGGATGCGCATCAATGGAACAATGGAACAATGGTTTATTACGGGTAAAAAAGCATCGCTTAACAAGTCACGTGGGATGGAAATTATTGCGAAACTCAATTGCATAATAAAGTGAAAAGCGTTGTGGTGGACTCACCATAGACTTATGAGGAATAGCGGAGAGGTTCGCGTATTAAACGTATAAATCCATCAATGCATTGGTTAGGCGTTTGGCAAGACACCGTTTGATTGCGTTTTGTAGCCCCTGGCTAACAGATCATAAAATGAAATGTAAGTGAGATAATGCATCGTCAACACGTTTCTTAAATATCGCCTGATTGGGAGCAGAGACGACATAATTAGGGAGGGCGTTCCAAGGCTCACACACGCGGAGAGAAAAGAAATTTCTACGGCATTCAAGCCGGCTATAATGAATTGTCAGTTTCAGTGGGTGACCTCATAGTTTAATGTTGTGGCTCAATTTCAGCAGCGGACGGCAAATGTGGTTTGGGTTCTTCAGAATCTGGTAAACCATTATGAGATCCCCCCGCAAAAGCCGATATCGACTGCTGTAGATTCTTAGAGATTTCAGTCTAAGCTGATAGGGCAGATGAAATAGGCCCCTGACGTACTTGTGTAGGGACGCGGATCTCAGTTCACAAGGAAATGCCCCGGAAGCAGCAGGAGATCGGGACTAACGCGGAGACTGGGAACGGGAATCGTCAACCCAGCTCGTGGCCTACGATGCAAGCCGGGAATGGGTCGTCAGCGACAAACGATACCGCGGCCACGCCGAGAAGAACAAGAGGCGACATGAAAGGGAGCCCTATTTTCCCAAGAGATATGCCTTTATCTACGGCCCCAGGAATCGGCCCGACCAGAGCAACACAGCCCCGAGCAAGCAAGTCGAGAGCTTTGGAACGAATCCAGTCTGGATAGGCTGCGACGCAAGGGAGCAGAAATGTGGGCGGAAAACGGCACATTCAATGTCCACGTCGGATCAGCCTAATGGCGCTGAGTGGACACCACTTCACTCGGCGGAACGTGGTGCGTCGTAAGTGGGAAAGGCGGCTATAGTTGTGTGTGTGCGTGGGACATGTGTGTGAACCTCTCAGCGTGCAATAAACAGCGGTCTCCCCAACCGTGTCGTTCTCGATACACTTGGTTGCCCGTCGGTGAGGAATCTCGAGAGCAACGAGATCCTGTTTCTGCCACGGCTGCCACGCCTGAATAGCATATCCCACGTGAGGTCGCACGTAGACGTTAAGCATTTGGGGAAAGATTGAGAGTTAAAACCGACCGAAGGCTCTGCGAAGAAGGCCGAAGTGTTGATTTCCGGTTCTCGTCGCCTTCTCTGCTTGCTTGAACACCCAAGATCTTCCTGTACCAATACACCCAGGTCACGCTCATGAGAAACCTTCTCCAAGGTGTAGTCATCAATCTCGTAAGCGCTCACCAGCTGGTGACGCAGATGCATCATTTTGCACTTAGCCATGTTCAACTGAAGCTTGTTCCTCTTTGACCATTCGTAAATGCAATCTAGGTCATGTTGGAGCAGAACCTGATCTGCCTTGTTACTAATCGCCAGCCATATCTTGACGTCATCGGCGAAAAGCAGGAAATTTGACTAGATAACTCATGCCAGGTCGTTGATAAACACCAGGAATAAACGCGGTCCCAGCACTGAGCCTTGTGGGACACCACATTCCACCTCAATTGGCTTAGAAAGTGATCCCCTAACACGTACTTGGAGCTTTCGTTGGTAAAGGAAGTTGCCAATCCAACCAAGTACAGGATCTCCGATTCCGTAACTCTGAAGCCGTTGAAGTAGGATGCGGTGATCTAGGCGGTCGAATCTTTGGAGAAGTCCAGATAGGTGACGTCGACTCCGACCCCATCATCGGCCACTTCCGTCCAACTACCTCGTGCAATAAGTAGGTTGTTGGTGCATGATCGGTGTTGACGGAAGCCATGCTGTTCCGGTACCAAAATGTTGCATTTTTCCAGGTAGTCCATTAAACTCTCAGCGACGACTGCTTCCATCACCTTCGCGAGCACAGGGAGGAGAGTCACTGGACGATAGTTTGCAGGATCGGAACGGCTACCGCCTTTAAAAATAGGGGTTATAATGCCACACTTCCACATAGTGGGGACTTGTTGTTCATCAAAGCACCTTTGAAAGAACTGTGACAGTGGTTCACCTAGCTTGGTGGCCACAGCCTTCAGTGCCTTCGGGCGG